AGTGATTGTGATAAAGAATTTGTTGCAAGTAGGAGTTGGCTCAGTCATTTCAAAATTAGGGCAAATTTACATAACATCAAAGGGCAAGGAGGACTTGTGGAAGACTCATTGACAACCTGTGATACGTAGATGGCACAAACTTGTTTGCTGAAAGTGAAGAAGACTTGAGGCACTTACTGCATGTCAAAGACTACAGCCTCTAGTATGGCTTATACCTCAACATAAAGGAAAATGAAATCCTGACAACTGGATCAATGAGCAACATCATGATAAATGCAGAAAAGATAGAAATTGTCAAGGATTTCATTTTACTTGGATCTACAATCAATGCCTATGAAAGTAGTCAAGAAACCAACTGGACAAATCTGCTGCAGAAGACCTCTTTACAATGCATTGACCCATGTCACTTTAGTTTTGTGTATTTCACTGTACATAAATTATATTTCAATAAAATGCATTAAAAAAAAAGAGACCTCCTTAAAGTGTTAAACAGCAAAAACGTCACTCTGACCCAAACCATGGTATGTTCAATTACCTCATATGCCTGTGAAAGCTGGATAATGAATAAGGAAGACTGCAGAAGAACACATTTTAATTGTGCTGTTGGCAGAGAATATTAAATGTTTCATGGACTGCTAGAAGAACAAACAAATCTGTCTTGCAGGAAATACAGCCAAAATGCTCCTTAGAAACAAGAATGGCCAGACTTCGTCACTCCTACTTTGGTCGTGTTGTCAGAAGGAACCAGTCCCTGGAGAAGGATATCAAGCTTGGAAAAGTAGAGGGTCAGTGAAAAGGGGGAAGAGCTTCAATGAGATGGATTGACACAGTGGCTGCGATGATGGGCTCAAGCAAGCAGTGGTTGTGAGGACGGTGCAGAAGCAGGCAGCTTTTTGTTCTGTTGTACATAGGGTAACTATTAGTCAAAACATGGCTGTTGCTAAAGGGGCAGGGAGGCAGCATCACCTGTTCTTATGAAGCCAGACATGATGCCATTCACCAGCCTTGACACCAATCATCCCTCCCACAGAACCCACCACCTCTTTGCTGGGTTTGATAATTCACTGCAGTGGCCACACAGAACACACAAATTATGGGGTTTATTAGGGAAACAACAGGCTACAATTCAAGTGCAGGAACACACTCAGGGTGCAGATATTCAATGAGGACAGTCTCCCCTCTGCTGTGCCCTTAGACGTGCCTAAAAGGCCTCTGCCTCTGTGGGCCAGATAAGCCTGCTGCTTTGTCTTGTGCCTCTTGATTCCACAGCCACCATCTCTCTCAGCCAGGCATCTCTCTCAGCCAGGTGTCTCTCAGCAGGGCATCTCTCTCAGCCGGTAGTGAGATTCCTTCTGCCTTTAGGAGGGCTCATTTTGAGCCTGGCAGAATGGCAAAAACAACCAATCCCAATATCAGAGTTCTATACCCCTGAGAAAGAGTGAACTTTCCCAGAAGATTACGCCCTCCTGCTCCACTAGAAATACCCCAGATGGATGACTTTAACATTCAGGAGTTTAAATTGCATGGTCCCTCCCAGTAATCTGGTGGGAGTTAGGAAGACTATGGCGAAAAAAGCCATACCATGTAATTTACTACACCACAGCTGCACCTACCAACAATAACAAACTGTGAGAAAATAAATTTCTCACTTATGGTATTTCTGTTATAGCAGCGCTAGATAACTAAGACAAGCTATGAGTGGGACTTTCTCAAATACAGGAAGAAATGACATTACAACATGTGTAACCCACTCAGATGTGAAATAACTTTGTCTTTGGGCTGCGGATGATTCCTTGCTTGATTGAGGGACTTAGTGGCCAAAGAAAAAGACTGGTATGATCATAAAAGAGCTGGAATGCCATGCAAAGGAGGAGACTGCGGGTGTTAGGTCTGTAGAACTCATCTGTTTACATCCCCATTTGTTTCTCCACCTGTATTCTCTGGCTCACTCCTGGTTGCCCAAACCAGGAATCTGGTATTTTCCTTGTCTATTATTTTGTTTTGTCATTTCCTGCATCTGACCAGTCACTGGTCAAAAGTACACCATAACGTGTACTTTTAAATTTCTCACAGAATCCATTTACTTCTCTTTGCCTTCACTGACCTGAATATTATTCACTCCTTTGTTGTTGGAACAGTTGCCTATGTGGTCCCCCAGCCCCCTGTCCTTTCTTCTCCAGTTTGTTTCTATACTCTAGCTGGAGAGATGCTTGTCAGAGAAAATATATGATCAAGCTGATTCCACTCGACATAATTTCATGGCCTCTGTTGCCCTTGAGTAAAGTTCCTCTCATTGGCCATCACCTTCTGGACCATTTCTGCTCAGTCGCTATCTTGAACCTCTTGCCATTCCCCACTTGGTGAATGGTGCTCCCATCACTGAGCTCTGCTCTCGCCTCTGCCAGGCTCTCTCTCAGCTCCCCCTGCAAATCATCTCAACACTCATCTCCTACCCTTGTTCATTCCTGTGCTTCTCTATACACACACACACACACACACACATACACACACTCCACCACCACCACCCCAGCCCACCTCCAGGACTATCCTTTTGGTTGTTGCTTCCAGGATGTGTTTCTTGACTTTCACACCTGGGTTTAGAATGTCATGCAGTATTTCAATCACTAGCTTAATTGTGTCTTTCTTCTAATAGACTGTGAGTTCTGCAATGATAGAGACGAGGTGTAGATTCTTTATCATTATATTCCCAGTGCCTGGCACAGCACCTCACCTGCCATAGGTATTTATGGAATATTAGATCCACAAATATCTAAAGTACCTATTCCCAGGCCCAGCACACAATAGATAGTAAATGATGACAGAGTTATTATTTTTTATTATTGTAATATAGGTAATCATATAAAATACTGCAAATAAGTCATGATAAGAAACAAAAAATGACCATGGAATGTGGCAAATTAGAAAGTAATTGCTGCGTGGATGAACTTGGAGGACATTATGCTGAGTGAAATAAGTCAATCACAAAAGGACAAATATGGTATTAGTCTGTTATTGTAATAGTCAAGGAAACATTTATCTATGGAAGATCATTTTCTTTGTTGGTTACCTGGGGGGAGGGGACTACTGTTAGATAGATAGAGATAAATTTTGATTTGGGTGAAGAAAAGGGCAATGTACCAAATGTGAGTGATCAATATAGTGGCATTGAGAAAGAGAAAGACATAGAGAGGTATGTGGGAAGTACAGACAACAAAGATGAACCCTTTTGCACATATAGTACAGCATGGTCAGTGACGGCAAACATGGGTATGTGGGTGGATAGATGGGTGGACAGGCTGAAATATTAGATATGTATATGAAGTGGAGAGTGCACCCA